AAAATTGTTTTTCTGCAGTAAATTGTAGTGTATTTTACTTATGAATGATCAAAAAGTGCATGAAGATTTTATGAAAATGTGTGGATGTTAACAGAATGATGTCATATGATCACAGTTGCGCAATAAATGATGGACTATTTTGGGCGTAGCTATAAAATGTGTCACCGAAGTACTCCTTTAAAAAGTGGGAAGTTGGGCAAAATGAGTACTGTGGTTCAAGTGATATTAGCATATTTCTCATTTAGTTTTAACTCGTACAATGTTTATTCACTCACTGTTTACTATAGCCAGAACGCTGTCTTCACTTTCAGGTTAGTTCTTCTGCAGATTTCTCGCAACCAACAACGTGATTTTTTATTTGGGATTTCAAGAAAAATAACATGAATCGTTATTCATAACACAACACCTCGCCATATTTCAACTTTTAAGTAGTCAGTTAACAAGGTCTTTCATAGTAGCATTTCTATGGGATTGACGTACTAGCATGAATGGGTTCAATTATGAGTTTTCACTGATGACATCATTTGACTGGCCCTCTAGCGGCGAAATGACGCCAGGAAAAGCGGACGTTTGTTGTCTGCTTCACAGCCCGTTTTATACCCGATATTTAGGGCATTTCGCAGCACATACAAGTTGTTTTTATCAACAGAATTCATTCATAGATCTCAAATTTCATGTACAGAGTGTCAAAAGCCACACCTCTGCTCCCCTTTAAACAGCGATTTGGCTGTGGCCATGCATTTAGTCATTGTCGACTGTTTTTTCTCGAATTGGTTGATTGTCATAGTCAATACGCTAAGTACAATTAAACGTCCGGAGTTGAACAGTAGTCATTTCTAAGGTTCAAAATAAATAAACAAACATGATTATTTAATTTAGTTTAATTCCTTCAGTTAAAAATTGAGTTTCCAAAATAAATAAATAATAACACGTACCCTCATGTATACTTCAAGTTTTCATTAAAACAAAGTCAAAGTCTTTGAAATTGCTTTTCTGCCTGTTCGCCAATGCATTGCTCCAAAACACACCTTTAAATACTCTTTATTTTCCCAGCATCGAGATGGCTCTGCCAACTCTTGTTATATGTAGACATTTGCATTGATTTTGTGAGCCTCCTAAAGATGGCCGACACTTTCAAGACACACTGATTTGTTTCAAACTTGGTATTAACATTGTACATGTTGGGTGTCTGATGTATGTGCAGTTTTGTATATTTTGGTTCAAAAATGCTGACAAAATTATGCGAGTTTTGCGGAAGGTGACAAAAATTGGTGATTAGGGAGAAAATAATCATAATGTACATGTGATAGTGAAAATTGTATGCTCTTTTGATTCATGAACTCATTCAGCAACCTTGTGAATATCTTTTGTTTTTAAACCAGATCCGAGCTGCCATACGTGCCAATGAACAACAAATCAAACAACGTGGTCGTGCTGTAGAAGTGAGATGGTCATCTGACAAGTGCCAGGAATCTACTGCTGGTTTCACTATCAGTCGTGTTTTAATTACTCTGGAAATCTTAGACAAACATTGTTTCGATCGTTGTGATTCCATGAATTCAATTGACTCCTTGTACAACAAAGTCTTTGGAAATACACAGAATAAAGAGAATAACGAGGTCAGTGCAGTAACATTGGTGTTCTTGTCCAACCATATTTTCACTATAATTGCTATGTAAACCACTTTAAGTTCGTGAATTGTGCGAGTGCAAGGAAATCACAAAATGCAGTGGCAGTGAACATTTCACTGGGGTTCATAATCATTTTGAAAACCATTACTTAGGTATAGCAGTTAACTGATCAAAATGTGTGACATATCATCTGTGTGGATCCATGATAAATGTTGTAGCATCGTGAAATTCACACATGTCACCTGTATGATATGCCAAGTATCCAGTTCAGTTTTTGACCCATGGTGTTGATATGATCTTAATTTCAGCTACCAGCCAGCGATGATCCAATCATACTCTTGTTATGTGAGTGGGCTGTATGTCCTCAGAGGTCCGGGGAACACAGAGCCCTAGTGGTGGCTAAGTTATTGGACAAAAGACAAGCAGATTTAGAAATAGAGGTAAACTACTAGCCGATCATTTGTGCCCATTCTTCCCACCATCCACGATTAGTCGGAAGAACAATTTAAAACACCATTCCAATGATGCAAATTAAGTCCTCGCGTACAACACAGATCAAGAACTGTGCTTCTGCTTCTGCATGTCGCACAACTCGCCCTCACATACGCTTTATAGGAACCTGTAAGTAAATGTAATATGGTATTGTTGTAAGGTTTGAATTTGACTGGTTGTGTTCAACCAAAGTACAAACCTAGACTTGCTCAACATGTACAGCTGAGATGCTTGTTCAAACAGCTGAATAAATTATTACGTTACATAGGCAATTTATTATTGGTGTCACATGAAGTTTTCTCATCCCCAATGGGACTTTGGGCAGAAAAATGGTAATTTCCATAATATGGCTAGTATCAATATTATCAAGGTGTATGTATAATTTGAATATAACTTCAAAGATATAAAAAAAATTATTTAGAACAGAAAACAGCTAGTAGACCAGTTCATACTGTCAGTCAATAAAACAACTGTGTTGTAAATGACAAAACACTCACATGAAACTGTCTTATTTCAAATGCATTAGCATATCATTGAAATTCACCTTATTATTATTTAAACCAATCGAATAGCTAAATTTAATTTTATGTAATCAAGCCTGCCTTTTATGAGATAAGCTAGAGTGTAGTGTTGTGCTAGCGATGATATGTATTGCACAACTTCTGGGGTACCAAAGTACTAGAAGAGATATTTCTTCGATAGTTTTTCAAATGCAATGTAATAATACACACTGTGTACTTCATTGCATTCAATTACATGTGTTTTGCCAAATTACACCATCTATCAATGATTCATGTTATTTATACTTTTCAGAAAAATGCAGATAATGACATTCTAGACGAAAAGGAATCCATATCATCAGCCTCTGTTATGAGCAATGGTTTACCAATCTTCCAGAGTCTTCTCTTACATTTCCTGGACAACCAAGCTCCTGTCGTGGGTAAGTCTCATATTTGAGAAAAAATTGCAATTTCTTTTCGGAATGCTTCAATTCTAGGATAGTTATAACCACCTGTACCTAGTCTAATTGATTAACTTAATTAGTCCCTGTTTGGACGCAGTTCGAAAACCGGGATTTGACCCTTGTGCGTCCGTGGAACCTTGCTTCTGTGTGTGCGTATTTTAGAAATGCCTGGACGAGTCATAATCAAACTTCACACATACATCATACATGATATTATACATATGCACGTCAATTTTTTTCACGATCTGATTCACGATGGATGAATGGCAGCCATTTTTGTGCAAAAAAATCATCATAATCAAGCATTTCTTGGCTGTTTACAGATGAATTTTGTTCAAACTTGGTATATATCGTATTTGTCTTCAGTTAAGCGCCACCTTCAATTAGGCGCCAGTGCCACGAAAACATCGTATTTTACACCCCAATTAAGCGCCAGACAAAGTTGAAATTTTGGCACGTAATGATCGTGAATTGGGCGCCGGCGGGTAGACTACCGGTTACCGGTTAGTAGCGATAGACGCGATGGCGGAAGTCCCTCAATGATACTGTACGATGGGCTTTTATGATTTTGTTTCTAAATAATTTTGAGAAATCGGTCTATAATCTCTTGAAACATGTCTCTTTGGTCTACTGTAGAAAATATTCGCGTGGTTTTTAATTTCGCAGTAAGTTCATAGACACGAAATTAAAACAACGTTCTGTTTCAAATGCACTGTTATCACAGTAAACAGTGTTAAATTATTCTTTAAATGCTCAGTTTAGTTTCCAAAAATAACTAATTTCTTGATTTGGAAAAAAAATCGTGCCGTTTTCCCACGAAAATAAAAGCCAAAAGATCGCAAACATCGGCAAATCTCTTCCGCGTTTCGTTCATACATTATTTAAATGAGCTATGGTAATTTATCACGTTGGCATCATCCAGCATTTTGATTGGTTAATTAGCGACTTGACCCATCAGGTCAAAAAACACGTTTCAGGTCACGTCCTAGACAGGAAGCATGGCGGACATCGTATCGCATCAAGCGTTTACATACGACCAGAATCATTCGCTTACGATGAAATTAAGTTGAATTTTACTTGCATTTTATTTTTTGTACGTTATTATAATTACCACTGAGTAATAATCGTAACTGTGGAATGCAGCATGACCGGATTTCCCTACCGGGATCATTTACTACTAAGTGATGCATTTGTGTTTGTTTTATTTTTCTGTTGATCGCACGGCAAACTGTGAATGTTTTCTAAAGGATGATAATTTTTGTACAACTTTCTCGACTGTCTGAAAACGGGTCATTTACTCAGTATTTTAAATAAAATATTGCCAATAATGTATCACCAGAATGGAGCAAGAACAATGGCTTGAAACACAGTTACCGGTACTAAAACTTGAAGTGCTTGAAATAAGCGCCATTTGAAACAAAGTTGCTCAAATTTAACCACAAATAAGCGCCACCATGAAATGAAAGTGTAACAAAGTGGCGCCTAATTGAAGACAAATACGGTACACTAGACATTATGGGACCTTGATGCAAGCAATTTTATTTTTCAGATCGGATTCAAAATGGCTGACTGGTGGCCATTTTGTTTTAATGAATGGGCTTCTAGACCCATATCTCTGACTTGCTTTGACTGATTATGTTCAAATTTTTAATATGCATTTTACACTATGTCATAGATTTACAGATATATTGGTTTGACAATCCTATTCAAAATGGCCGAATGGTGGCCATTTTTGTGCTAAAAGATCATCAAATATCAAGCATTTCTGACATTTATGGATGGATTTTGTTTGAACTTAGTACATACATTAGACATCGCGGGTTCCTGATGCACATCATTTTATTTTTCGGATAGGATTCAAAATGGCTGACTGGTGGCCATTTTGTTTTAATGATTGGGCTTCTTGAGCCATATCGCTGACATGCTTTGACTGATTATGTTCAAATTTTATATATTCGTTATACATCATGTTATAGATATATACATGTATTCAAAATGGCTGCTTTTGTTTTTAATTAATGTTGTTCCAGAGCAATATCTCCCAATATGGACAAGTACTTGTTTGCCGATCAGATACAAATGTCAATCATTTTAATGTTAAACAATCATCATAATCATATTCTTGACATGGTTATATTCCAGCTATATTACTATAAACAAAACTATATATCTTAAATTTGATAACTAACAGGGACTGTGCCATGCATGGCTTGTTCAGTATGGTTACATCCGAGGAGGGCCAAAAGCATGTCTTGTATCAGTATGGTTACATCCGAGGAGGGCCAAAAGCATGTCTTGTATCAGTTTGAGTACAAATTTTAGAAGCAGTCTTCAAGAGGAAGCACTTATCCAAGGGTTGAATATCATGGAGGCCTTAAAGGCAATTGCTTTGATGTCTAATGGGTTTGCCTTGGTACCCTTCAACAACAAAAATATATATTCACACTACTGTAAAATACTTTATTTTCGTTTCGAATTAATTTTTCCTATTTTTGTTGAAGGAGTGATTCAGTAAAAATAAAACCCGGTGAATATACCCCTTTTCCTATATTTTACAATCATCTCGCCAAAAATCAGTGAAAATAAGTTCCATAGAAAACACCCAAAATGTCTTTTCAGCGAAAATTAATTCCAACTAAAATAAAGTATTCCACAGTATATTAGAAATGGTACATTACCATCTGAAAGCCTCCCCAGATAGCCAAATTTGAATGAGAAAAAACTATGTCAGTAAGCAACGTGTTTGAGGCTTATTTTAAAATCCACAATTATCACACACACTGAGTATGAGTCCCATGTGACATTGTTTACATGCAATTTGAAACCCTATGTGATATAGTTTTGAAGTAACTCTGTCATTTAGTCTACTGTAAAATACTTTATTTTAGCTGAAAAGATTTTTTAGGTGTTTTGTATGGAGTTTATTTTCACTGATTTTTGATAAGTTGAATGTAAAATATAGGAAAAAAACTAAATATTCGCTGGGTTTTCTCTGAATCATTTTTTCAGCGAAAATAGCGAAAATTAATTCCAAGTGAAAATAAAGTATTTTACAGTACCTCATTTCATCTGTATAGAACTGATACATAATGTTTGTTTCACTGTGTCGTGATTTGTTTCTACCACAAAAATTATGCGTGTATCATGTATGAATTTGCTAATTTGTGCTTCATTCTTATGTTTTAATAGTAGATGATGCCAGTAGTCAGGATGACAAGACTGCATTCGCCAATCTGGTTCTACTGTTCTGCGAACTGATACAACACAATGTGTTTTCTCACGATGCTTACATGTGTACTTTAATATCCCGTGGTGATCTATTGCCAACACCGCCTCCCGCCAGCGTGCAATCCAACAGTGAGAATATAGATGACAACGGCGATATAAAAATGGAAGAAGATATCCTCAAGATGGAGGTAAATACATTAGGGGTTGAAGTCACTCACCTGTATAAATCTAAGTACCATATATGCTGTATTAGCAGCGTAAGAATTTTGATACCTTGTAGGCTTTGGATGACTCTTGTAAGTT